TATATATATATATATATATATATATATATATATATACATATATATATATATATATATATATATATATATATATATATATATATATATATATATATATATATATATATATATATATATATATATATATATATATATATATATATATATATATATATATATATATATATATATATATATATATATATATATATATATATATATATATATGTATATATATATATATATATATATATATATATGTGTGTGTATATATACATATATATGTATGTATATGTATATATATATATATATATATATATATATATATATATATATATATATATATATATATGTATGTATGTATGTATATGCGTGTCTATATATCAGTGTGTGTGAAAGCTGACTCCTGATCTCCTCTCACCGTCTCCAGGTTTTCTGGTGCGTCAGACTGTAATCAACGCGTGTCGGCGGAAGCGTCTGGAGAGCGACTCCTACAGTCCTCCACACGTGCGGCGGAAACAGAAGATCGCAGAAATCGTGAACCGTTACCGAAACAAGCAGCTGGAGCCCGAGTTTTACACCTCGCTCTTCCTGGAGGTCAACGAGACCAGCCTCAAACCCTAAACGAACACAAACCCCGCTGCTATCGAGGCCACATTCATCTTTTTATATCAGTTTGGTCAAATCTTTTCTCCTCTACACCATCAGCGCACACCGGTTGGAGGATTGCTGATCCATTGGTCAAAACCAATCCTCAATTTACTGAAGAATTCCTGATCTCATGAAGAATCAAAGTAATATTTCACTCCAAATTAAATAAGAGATATGAAGAGTTCAGCTGCAAAAACCTGCAGAAAACTAAAAGTGCAGAAATTTCCATCAAAAATGCGCATTTTTCTCAGCCTCCTTTGTTCATGTTGAGATATTTCACTTTAAAGACCAGGAAGAGGACTTATTCTTTGCCATAAGAATGATATAACTGAACACACACACAGGAGCCTGATAAAGATGCTCATTTTAGAGAAACATTTCAGACGGCATTTAGAGGCAACTAAACTCTTCATGTATGTATATATTTATATATATTTGCATATTTTGCATAAAGGAATTAAAGCCTTTTAGGTTAAATAAGATTGTGATTATAATTTTGTACATTTTCATTATTATTAAATTTGATTCTCTTTTTTTTTTTGCGTTCCATTAATGAGTGTGACTATAATCAACGTGTGTCGGTGGAAGCGTCTGGAGAGCGACTCCTACAGTCCTCCACACGTGCGGCGGAAACAGAAGATCGCAGAAATCGTGAACCGTTACCGAAACAAGCAGCTGGAGCCCGAGTTTTTGGTCATTTTCATTATTATCAAATTTGATTATTATTTTATTTGCATTCCGGTAATGAGTATGAGTAGGCAATAAGCAAAATAAATAGTTGTGCAAAATATAAAAGTGTATTAATAAATAATAAATGTTAAGAAATTAAATAAGCGAGGCATTATTTATAAATAAGTAGATTTAATATATCTAAATAATTAATATATAGAGATATATTTATTTAGCATTTAGATATATTAATTATTTAGATAAATTAAATATGCATGTATGTAAATAATGCCTGTTCGTTGTTTCTTAACATTTTGTCCTCAAATTGCATTATTATCATCATTATTTTATATATATATATATATATATATATATAAAATAATGAAATAAAATTAGC